CTCCAAGATCATTGAGTCCAACCGTTCCCCCAGCACTGCCAAGCCCATGTCCCCAGCTGCCTCATCTACATGGCTTTTAAATCCCTCCAGGGATGGTGACTCCACCACTGCCCTGGGCAGCTGTGCCAGTGCTTGGCAACCATTTGGGGGCAGAAATTGTTCCTAATATCCAACTTAAACCTCCCCTAGCACAACTTGAGACCATTTCCTCTCATCCTGTTGCTTGTTACCTGGGGGAAGAGACTGACCCCCACCTGGCTCCACTCTCCTGTCAGGGAGTCGCAGAGAGCAAAAAGATCCCCCCTGAGCCTCCTTTTCTCCAGGCTGAGCCCCCCCAGCTCCCTCAGCTGCTCCTCATCAGACTTGTGTTCCAGACCCTTCCACAGCTCCGCTCCCTTCTCTGGACATGCTCCAGCCCCTCAGTGTCCTTCCTATAGTGAGGGGCCCAGAACTGAACACAGCACTCAAGCTGTGGCCTCACCAGTGCTGAGTTGCACAGGTGACTTTTGCTGGAGACAGGCACCAGTGTGGCTGGGCAGCAGGGGCAGAGAGCTTGGGCGAGGACTGCCACGACCCCACTCCGACCCCACAGCTCCGGGGGGAAGCTGCTCCAGCGCCCCGGGCAGCCCCAGCCCTCTGCACCGTCTCCCAGCAGCTCCCAGGAATTCACAACAGCACTTTTGGGACACACGAGCAGCTAAGCCCAGCTGCCCACCCACCACCCCAAAACACACTCCAGCTGCACCACGCTTTTCCTCTCTCTGCTGTGGCTTAGCTTGGATTCCATTTCTATAAATCACAGCTCACCTCTATGCCATGACACCTCCCCTATCCGTATGAAGAATCCCTAATGACACTGTGTTCTTAGAGGTTTTTTGTTTTGCTTTGGGGGGTTTTTTTGTTTGGTTTTTTGCATTTTGTTTTTGAGTGGTTGTTTGTTTGGTTTTTTTCATTTTTTAATTATTATTTTATCCTAGCTTTCTTGATCCTTTTCTAAGGTGTTTTTCCAAGGACTTTTCATGGGCTTGTATTGTCTGGTGCTGTCAAGTCCTTGAAATCATTACTATGGTAGGAGCTATTTAAACACTTCAGCTAAAACCGACAAAATTCTAAAGGCACACACTGGAAAATAAAAATCTGCCCTTGAGGCCAAGGGGATATTTGCCAAAGCATTTCCCATCCCCTCTTCCAGCCTGTTTTCCAATTGTAAGCTTCACCAGGAAAGCAACTTCTCCTGCACATTTGTGAAGTGCCCACTAACCACACCATGTAGCTGTGCAAGCCTGAAGTCATCCAAATTCCTTGCCCGCAGCATTTTTGGGGCAGAGAAACACTGGCGTATAAATACGATTATTTAGCACGCAGCCTCGGCAAGCGGTGGGACCTTCCATGGGTCACAGCTCCATCTACTGACTACTCCACAAAATAACAGTGTGGAAAGCCTCGGGAAAGCTCTTGGTAGCAAGAATCATCCCCTCGGACCTGCCTTTGGACACAAGGCTCTGTGCAAGCCTTTAGAAAGGATCCCAGCACAGCAGCTCAGCCCCCAAAGGGAGAAGCAATTTTACCTTTTCTGCAAAGAAGCCTCTTGGCACAGCAACAGGTCTGGGGTCACTCCTGAACCTACAACCACAGGGCCTCAAACTGTGGTATTTTAGTGCTTCTGGAATTACTGCTGCAGTGCTTTGAACAGAAGACTTATTTAAACAGGGACAACACGCGCTTGGGGCTGAGCACTCCAGCAAAGTTTGGGTCCAAGCATAAAATGGAAAACATTGTGTTTGTTGGATGTGCTGCTATCTGAAGTGTGGCAGCAGCTGAGCACCATGTGATAGGAAAAAAAACGTCATTTTACAGAAAAACTGAGACTAGACCACCGTCATGTGAAATCTGAGGAAGATCAGGGAAGTGGATATGGATCACTGAAGCCACATCTCCCACTCTAACCACCAGGCCCTTCTTATGTGCAGAGTATCTCCCTGAATCATAAAGGAGATCACCCCTCCCATTCACAGTGAAGGAAAAAGAATAAAGAAAAACACTGCAATGATTTATCTGCCCAGAGGGAAACAATCTTTACAGTCTTCTCTACAGCTCAGAGGAGACCTTGCCCTTGCAAGCCTCCTGTTTGCTGATGAGGCTCCAGATGAGCCCCGTTCTGCCTCTTGTGTGTCATTGCAAAAGAGCCAGAACTGAATCAGAGGCTTTTACTGACTTCAATACACAAACTAGTTTGTCCCAAATATCAGCAAACTTCAAGCAGAAACTGCTCACCAGAAAGCTGGACACCTGGCTCAGAGCTGTCACAAGACCAAGAGACACGAGAATAAGTCTCTTTTCAGGCCAGTGGAACAGAAATACATAACACTAACCTCATTTTATAGTCAAAGGGGAGAGTTTGGGAATCATGCTGTAAGTCATCAGTGTGATGCAGCAGATTTAATTCCCAAGCTCCCATCACCACACCCTGTATATACACCATCTTCCAGTACAATTCCACAGCTGAAACAAGTCTGTTCTCCCCAGATGGGTCCCAGTCTCTTCTGTGACCCAAACCCACTGTGCATCCACACCTGAAAAAGGACTACCCTGCACTACATTGCATTTTCAAGCCCTCCCAGCTCTACTTCCTGCAGCAAATTCCTGGTGTGTGCTCAGCCCTGGGCCTTTCCCATTCCCATTTCTTCTTTTTTTAGAGGCATTGGGAGAATGGGAGTCACTTTAGCCCCATGTCCCTGTTCAAAACCATCTCTCAGCCTAAACACCACCATCTCCACAGCCCTAAAGCAGGAACTCTGATCTTCACTGGGACCTGAAGAATAGGGAGCAAACAAAGGTTCATTCTGGTCCCTCCTTTCCACCCCTCTCTGTGCTCCCCATGCAGCACCTGCACACATTCCAAACAAATGGAAAAAAAAAAATCAGGATAATTCACTTTATTCTGGCACAAGGATATATAACTTCCAACTTGTTGCCCAGTGGGGTCTTCCAATGTAAAACTTGGATTAAAGAGACAACAGCAGCACACTTTTAGGGGAAGCCATGCTGTGTGAATTAGAGCCTCACCCACAGGTTAAAGCTCACACACATAGATTTTACTGCACATGTCTCTGCCCTTGGAGCAGCAGACAAAATGCAGCCAAGAGAAAGTCAATTCCTGACTCCATCTGAAGGCACATTTGTGCAAGGATAAGAATGGGATCACTGGAGAAGTCACGTGCTTAAAGACTCGCTGATGGCTCATGGAAGACTCCAGGCTTTGCTTACACATCATTTTCTGTATTTTGTTCCTTCCATTTTATTACTAGAGACAGTCGCATGAGAACGGGATCTTTGTTGCTTAGGAGAGCATCTGCTCCCACTACTTATCCTCCTCCTGAAGTCATAATCTTACGTGACATCAAAATCGTTTCCAGAGCCACCAATTACAATGTCACAGAGGATTATGACTTCAGGTGTAGAATTTGCAGAGGGAGCAGATGCTCTCTTCAGCAGAAAAAGAAAAAAAAAATTATAAAACCCAACCTTCAAAAAAATCCTGTTTTGATACAAGTGTCGCTATTAATAAAACACAAAAGAAAAAAATAAGTTTGACAGCCAGAACTGTCGCTAAATACAAAAATAGTTCTTTAACATTTCCATGAGGCATCAGCTGCTCTTTGGAAAGTTCCCAGGGTTTAGATTATTAAGAGGTATAGAATGCAGCGAGAATCTGTCCATGACAGAGAAAACAAGGGAGAAAATAGTGCAGAATGGTGTATTTCTGCCCAGTAAGTGGACATTTAAATTTTGGCCAGTGCTGCAACGGCACCTCAGAGGTGAGAGAAAATAAAAAACAGGAACTGTGGATTTGTGGTTCTTTCTAAGGATCCCCAAAGCACAACTGAAATCAAACCAGAAATGTTTTTACAGATAAGAAGCCCCGTGAAAAACAAACTCAAAGAATCCTTGTCGCATCACAAGGAATTTACTCAGATGCTTCCAACAATCCCTATCCCAGAAGGACACAGAGGCTTTCAGAGGCAGTAACAATCTCGGGAGCAGTTTGGTAGGGAGCTAATATAGTCACAGGCTCTTCTGGATTTGTTCCACGGAAACAAGCCAAGTGTAATAAGTCAGTTTGAAGCTGGAGGAAGGTTGGGGGGGAGGAGCACCCTTTAGGATGCACTAATAACGCCGTGTGATTTGAAATTTTTATTAGAGCTTAACAGGGCCCAGCAACAGTAGGTGACAAAGAAAACAGACTGAAGGCGGGGAAAAAAGCCTTATAGAAAAAAAAATAATAATGGAAAGTCTGTTGCATGGGAAATATTTTGTAAGGTGACTGCCACTATTAGAAGATTTCCAAATGCCAAGCGTAATTAAAAGCTCTCTTTTCAAATGCAGTTCACGGCTCACACACAAACGTTTCCCACCACGTGAGGCTCAGAACACTGCAAGGGGCCAAGCAAAATGCATTTAAGAACTGCCAAACGTGCAAAGGCAGTTTGTACCAATTCTCCCCCCTCACGCATCCCCCAGAAGAAAAAACCCTTCACGACAACCCTTTAAAGGCTTTGAATTGCGCTGCCAGGGGATTATCAGTAAGTGACATTTACAAGTGATTAGAGGACAGAGAATTATCTTAGTCACTTGTGGGAAAGGAGGAAAGCTTCAAGGTCAAATCTCTCAGTACTTAAAATGTCGGCAGATGTTTTGTTTACACAAAAAAGTGTCATTTGATTTATGATGGAGCTTTACATCCAGAGCTTCAACTCAGCCAACGGAACTGCAGAGAACATGGGTGGGAATGGAATCAAAAATTCATACGATACCTTCAGATACTTCACTGATTCACTCTTATTAAAGTAAGAGGCCGGTTTATGTGCCAAGCAGTTACGCAGTACCTATTAGCTCCTTGGAACAAGAGCTCCAAGCCATATAAACCTTGGCAAGCAAGGAAACGGAGATAAATCTCCAACAGCTCCAAAAATCCCACATCAACCCCCTTCCGCACTCACCTCCGCACAATGGATTGCTGGAGATTTTTGCAAACGGTAAGAGATTCTCCCATAAACATGTGGCACATGATGACCTCAAGGCAGTTGGCCATGAATGACATCACTGCGTCAGACTGCAGAGTCCCGCTCCGGGAGACGATGCAAAGCCGCTGGAGAGAGGAGCAGTGACTCAGTGCCTGGAAGAACTGGGCGCCCGCACAGAAGTACGGCTGTTCCAGCCTGCGGGAATAAACAAAAACAAGTCAATGGGCAATTCACACTTGGGACAGCTCTCAGACAAGAGGGAAGGCAGCGCATTCATGGGGGGATGGCAAATGGATCGAGCAGTGTCGCCACTGCTGACAGACAAGGACACAAACGGGCAGGAAGGCCCTAAACTGCAGAATTCCGGTGCCCGCAGGGAGCAACCCTGGAATAACCCTGGTTTTGCAAGTTTTCCACAAAGTATGTCGGGTAAGAGAAGCCTTGGTGCTGGTGAGCAGCAGATCCATTCTGGTCCTACAAGCACAGCCTGGTTTTTGCTACCTGACATCCACTGAGCAGGTGATGTGGATTCTGCTCCAGTGCACAAGCACTGATCAAAACGGTCATATCTTCAGTTTAATACCTTCACTTTACTGCCTAGAGAGAAGCAGGCATGAAAAACACACAGTGCACACAGGGTGATGCAGAACTTAAGCCTCTGGGACCAAGAGAGTGACCACAACCATCCCTGGCAAAGGATCAGAGGTACTGCTTGCCCATGGGAAGAACAACCATCATCAGCCCAATCTTCATCCTAAACACTTGGCCCAGAGAAGAGAGACAGGATCCTCTGTCATGGTAATCCAGCAGGAAAACAAAATGACACAGTGAAGCCATACCTGGCCAATGTGGGGCCTGTGTTTTAACCAGCAGCATATCTGGGTGACTCCCTCACAGAAACCAGCCTGCAGGAGGCAGAACCTGCTCAGGGCTGGTGTTACCAGGAGAGTTCATCTGCTTAGAGCAGATTTACTACAGGGCTTCAGAGCACTTGGGAATCTCAGTCATTGGGTCAGGAAGGCCAAGAGCTCCAAGAAGGTTAATCCATTAGGTGATAACAAGCTGTCGGTCCCAACCTGATCTGGATAATCTCTGCACAGGCTTTTGTAGCACCCAGGGGTATCTCAGCAACTTAATCCTGTTAATTGATAAATTCTGTTTTAGTCTCAGCCTGCAACTGCTGTCGGATGGCATTGCCTGAAGAGATCCTAAAAGCATATCAGCGCTTTGGGTAATAAATTAAAATTAATATCAAAGAGATGGGCATCCTCTTCAATTTTTCAACAGCATTATTGGGTCACTGAAAATTTAGGACAAAAAGCTCAGCATCCTGACAGCAGGTTTGCAGGTGAATCCCTGAGACGCGTCAGCCACACTTGCAATGCCGTCCTTCACTCGCTAGATGGCAATGTTGCTTTGGAAGATCGCCTTAAACTCAGACTGGAAAAAATGGGAAGGGAAAAAAAGGGTGGGAACAGCAGGGAATCAGTCAAATGAAATGGAAACTACATTATCAGGAGGAAGTGCTAAACACTAAAACCATCTTAAGCCCATATAAAACATGAGATCTTAGTCAGGAAAGAGGAATGATAGCTTGCATGGAAGCATGGTACGAGGAGACATCCTTGTTCCAGCCTTTATTCCAGGCTCTACGCTGCCTCCCACCTGTATTTATTGCTCCTGGCCTCCATTTCAAAGCCTCTGGAAACTACAGGGCCCAGGCTGAGCATAGGAACACTGCACACCCAAACCTCCTTTCCCAGCCCTCAGTCCTTCTGTGGTTCTTTGCTCTCCTGAAGGTTAAAGACACTTTCACGTAACCCAAGACATCGAGCAAATGAATTTCCAACAGCTGCCATCTCTTGGATGAGAGACCTGCATGTTCCTTGCCTGTTATATATGGGAAGTGGTGGAACATGAAAACCCTCCTGAGGTGTTTTAGCCACCCTGGATCCCTTCACTGTTGCAGTGGATCAGGAACAGGCCCACAAACACCGGTCCCAGCTGATGAGCAACAATTTCAGACACAGCAACTGAACTGTGCCCACAGAGTGACCTTGTTGCCACAACTATTCAGCATTTTGGAGCCTTTTGTGAACAGTCCCATTGTGACAATGGGACTAACAGGTTCTGCATTTTCACCAAAATAACCTGATTTGGGGCAGGGGGAAAGAAAAAAAGCATCTTTCTAAAGTAATAACATTTGTGTTCATACAGGACTGGTGCAAGGAAAATATCAGTTTGTGCCCTTTGCTTTCACGAGCACATTTTGGCTACCATGAAGCTCCTTTGTGCACCCCTTAGGATCAGATTCTTTAAAGCCTACCAGGAGAGGAACACCAACAGGACAAACTGTAAATTTGGAATGTTTTTGGTAAATTATCAAGAAAAGAAATAAAAAACCAAAGAGGTGAGGTTTTAATACAAACCAAAGGCAGAAAAATATCTCATTGGGAAACCTGAGGAGAACTCTACATTATCTGGACAGTATAGGAACCTCTTCTTTCCTGGAAATTTAAGAAATGTACATATACACAAAGCCAAAAAGTCAGCAAAGGCTCGTAGTATTTAACCAGCTCTGACAGGCCGCTAGCTCCAAAATATGCAGCATCCACTCTTTCTTATCTAAGAGGAAGGCAGTCACAGCACTTTTTATTCTTAAAACACTGGTTAAAGGGCACATCCTGAGCCTTCAAGGAAAACATGCAATGCCTTCCCATTCTCCACAAGTCAGGAAGGAAAATACCCAGTTTTCAAGCCATTGCAGCTACTACAGTTTTAACAGTAACCACAACAAACCAACCACTACACTTCTGGAGACCCACAAACAAAATGGGAGATGTTCAAGGGCAGCCCCTCACCTGAGATCTCTCAAACACTTGCAGTGTTTCAGCATGTCCATGAGAGCAGACATATAGACCACCTTCCCCATCATGCCCAGGTTGGCCAAGGAAAGAGTCCGCAGGTGCTGGCACTGCAGCCCGATGTTAACGAGCCCAGAGCCAGTGAGAATATTTGGCAGCTGTGCTAAGGTGAGGCTCTGCAGGTAAGTCAATTGGCTAATGGCAGCCACCTCTGAATCCCCCACACTTTGTGCCCTGACACAAGGAGGCAACGAGTTCCGAATTGCTGGCTCGTTGCGGGGCATGGCAGAGGAGAAACTGGACCCAATTATCTCCAAGGTTTCCAAAAACCGGAGGCTTCCCATCAGAGCCCAGAACACTGAGGACTCTATCTTCTGATTTGCCTGGTCCGCTAAGTTCCTTGGATATGTCTGTATCCCAATCCGAACTTTCCTTCCAAATGTTTGGGGCACCAAACTAGGAGCAGTGGGAGGCTTCTCCACAGTTGCAGCAACATCTGTGATGGAGCAAACCGGCAGTGCTAACGAGAGCAGGTGCTTTAGCCTGGACAGCAGCTGGCACAGGTGGTTCCCAATGCTTTCAGAGCTGTGATGGTGAGCTGCAGACAGGTTGAGGTGCCTCAGGTTGCAGCAAGACACTACCAGGCTTTCCAAAATGCTGCTGTCAATGTCATCTTCTGCTTTCCGAAACAAGGACTCCGGAGCCAGACAGTGAACACAGCCACTGAGATTCAAACTGGTCAGGCTTTTAAGATCCTTCCCTCCATTAATGACCCTCTGGATCAGGTGCCCACCAGATAAGGTGCATCGGCTAAAGCTGAAGTAGAAAGGGTTGTTGAACTTCAAGTGTTGCAGGAGCCCGGAGCCGTTAATCCAGGCTTTGGGCAATTGTAAAGCGTCCAGACGTACATTTCGAGCCATGGAGTCCAGGAGGTTTTTGGTGGCTCCCGTCTCCGCAAAGCTGCCGGGGGCAGAGATCAGGAAGGCGTGGAGGTTCTCAGGCGTCCGATCACTCAGCACTGCCAAGTACAGCCTCACCACCTCCTGGTTGACGTAGCCAGGAGCCAGCCTGGCATAGAAGATGCGGAGGTTCTGGTAGTGGGGCACGTTGCTCTCGCCCACCATCAGCTGCCCAGAGAGCATGAACCCCTCTCGCGAGCGGTCGAGGATCTCAAAATAAAGCAGCAGTTTCTCAAGGCTCGTGCAGCACGGGACGACGCCGTACGACGGCGTGTAGAGGGTTTGCTTCAGCTCCGAGACACGGCTGAGGGTGGCTTTGCACTCACTGCTCAGCTGGCTGGCATCAAAGCCCGGGTTGACATCGATGGCCAGGGAGCGCAGGTGCTGGAGCGTGGAGAGCATCTTGGAGAGCCGGAGAGAGGTGACGTGGCACCCGGACAAGTTGAGCTTCACCAGGTTCTTGCAGCGTGTTACGTGATCGATGGTGGAGCTGGGCAGCCAGTAGCACCCAGCCATGTTCAGCTGGTAAATCTCCTTCCCAATATCCCTCATCAGCTGCTTCACTTTGTCCTTGTTCACCTGCACCCAAACAAAACCACAGTCAATGAGATATAAGGCACTGACTCAGTTCCCCAGCTGGAGATGGGGATAAGAGTGTTTGGCACTTAGATTATGTGGCTCATCCAAAGGTTTGGGCATGGCAGCCCAGCACCTCAGTCTGCCATGCTTTGGACTCCTAAGATTACACATCCTTTAGCTTCTTAGCCTGTGCAGTTCTGCATTACAGCTGTTCAGCAGCTGAGAGTGGAATGGAAACCACCTCCATTTTCTACCAGCAAATCTATTTCAGCAGAACTATCTATGGAAACTCAAACTGAAAGAAGAATGTTTCCATTCTTCTTCATCCAGTTTCCTCTTCTGGAAATGAGTAAGAGAGGCTTTCCCTTGCCCACACTTGGTGATACAGTTCCCATAAAACCATTATCACCCTTTAGTCCCAAGCTTTATTTCTGTCATAGCACATACACAAATTCTAGTTTCACTGACTGCATGCCTGACAGCAACACACACAAGATTTTTTTTGCACAGCAACAGGGAAAACATATTTTGAGAAAATGGTAACTCAAATGGCTACAAAATGGCAGGTCACGTTTACTTTTGTTTTAGCTTCCAGAAACACAGAGAAGTTTACACTGACAGTATTTTATAAAACTAAGGGAGCACAGAGCTGTTCTAACAAAGCATTCTGGAAAACAAATGCTTTTATAAAACAGTTTATTGTGTGCTTGATTTCAGAGTTCAAGAACAGTCCATTCATGCAGACACATTGGAAAGTTCTACTTGGTGTTTTTTCAGAGGTCAGATTTGTCTTCACAGCTAACAGAAGAAGCAAGCTACTCTCCTCACCTTATAGTCCTTCTGAAGGAGAACTGTATGTGTTAGACTCTTGTCAAGGCAAAGCGTTGCAAGTTTCCTGCAGGTTCTCCTGACATTCAGAACAAGGTCTGTGCAAGGGACGTAGCTGAGGATGTGCAGAAGGATCTCATCTGAGAACTCCATCAAGTTGACACCATTGCTTTCCTCCTCACTCTCCTCGCTTACAACCTCCTGGGGGGAGAAACAAAAAGAAAAAACAGCAAAGCTACTGGCTCAGAAACTTCAGCAACACTTTTGAGTAAACAGATACCCCGAGTCTGATAAGGATTTTTAAAGTGAGACAAAACAGAAACACCTGGATCTTTAAGTACTTCCATCTGCATGAAGAAACCAAAAAGCTTTCCCTCAGAAGACAACAC